TCGCAGATTTGTTCTATCATGCATAGCTACTACATGCTCTTCCTACCATTTGAATTTTACCCATTTCTGTTTGGATGTTTGTTTGTGTGACACAGGGTTTCTCTGTGTAGACTTGCCTGCCCTGGAACTTGCTCTCACAGAGAGCTAACCTCGAACTTACAGAGATCAGCCTGGCTATGCCTCCCAAACCCTGGGATTATAGACATGTGCCACTACCAAGCCACATTTCTTATTTAAGATTTCTAAATTGGGGCTGGAGAGGTGGCTCAGTGGTTAAGAGCACTGGCTGCTCTTCCAGTGGATCTGGGTTCAATTCCCAGTACCCACATGGCAGCTCACAACTGTCTATAACTCCAGTTCCAGGAGATCTGATACCTTCACACAAATGCACATAAAATAAAGTTAAATAAATTATAAAAGAAAAAAAAAGACTTTTAAATTAAGATTTCAGGACTATTTGTTAATTAATCAGCATAACCAAATGTAAAGTATTTCTTTCTCTTTGTCAATTCCTATGTTAGCAACGATGCTTAACTGGTTTCCCTATTAACACATTCACTTAATTAAACTCATATATTAAAGCATTATACTAGCTTGTATTCTGTCCCACAATTCCCTTGTTCTCTGAGCTCTAGCTCTAAATGCTTAATCTACAAAATAGCAGCACCATTTCATATTTTTCCCCTAGGTATATAATGATTATTAATTACTGAGGACTAAAAACCTATGAATGTCTTAGCCTGTGGGGTAAATACATCATCACTACTATGTCTTAGAAAATAGTAGAAAGGGGCCAGCAAGACAGCTCAGAAGGCAAATGAGCTTGCTGCCAAGTCTGACGAGCTAAGTTCTAGTCCCAGGCCCCACATGGTAGAAAGAGAAAACTGACTCCCTAAAATTGTCCTCTGACTTCCAAATGTATACTGTGGCATGCTCATACGTGAGCGAGTACACATACCACAATAAATAATTCTGTTTTTAAAGAAAAAATACTTTAAAAATAAAAAAGCAGAAAAGCAAGACAATATCAAAGTTTCAAAACATTGTGCTGACACTGTCTGATATACTACCTGATACTCTTTTTTTTTTTGGCTTTTTAAGACAGGGTTTCTCTGTAGCTTTGGAGCCTGTCCTGGAACTTGCTCCGTAGACCATGCTGGCCTTGAACTCACAGAAATTCACCTGCCTCTGCGTCAAAGGCAACCACCACTGACTATCTGACACTTTTTAAGAAATGTTTGTCAGGAGCAGTAGGGCTACCGAGGATTGAACTGCAATAATCAAACCACTGCACATTAGTATCTTATACATAATGTCAATATATTAATTATTTTCTTAATTTAAAAAAAATATTTTAATTTGGCCAGGCAGTGGTAGTTCGTGCCTTTAATCCCAGCACTCAGGAGGCATAGGTAGGTGGATCTCCGTGAGTTTGAGGCTAGCGTGGTCTACAAAGCTACACAGAGAAACCCTGCCTCAAAAAAAAAAAAAAAAAAAAAATTATGTGTACAGGTGTTTTGCCTGTATGTATGACAGAGTACCACCTGCATGCCTGGTGCCTGTGGAGGCCACAGAGGACATCAGATCCCAGAACTGAAGCTATAGATGGTTAGTTATGAGTCACTATGTGGAGACTGGGAATCGAACCATGCATCTCTGAAAAAGCAACCAATATTCTTAACCTCTGAGTTCTCTCTACAGCTCCTAATTTAAAATTTTAAAACATTACATTGTGGTGTATGTATTTAAGAGTGTGTGTGTGTGTGTGTGTGTGTGTGTGTGTGTGGTACATGCACAGAAATATGCTATGTCTTTTCCAAGAACACTCACACACAAATGCCTAAGGAGAAATGCATACACTAGGAGAGGGCACAGTGAGAAGAGACCTGTCAGAAAGGTAAGGGAAGGCTCCTATGGGAGAAATACAATTGAGATTCAATTACACACAAGTTAGGTAAGAGAACGAAGGTATGAGGCCCCTCAGGACACAAGAGCCTGCAGTGCCTTCCTGTGGTGAGAGAAAAAGAGCAGGGAGCACAGGACAAAATGGAGGGTTCAGCCAAGGGGAGAAAACAGACAATGCGGTGCCTGTTAGGGTACACTAAGGGTTTCTACCTTACTGTGAGGGCAATGAAACAGCAAGAAAGACTGGGTACAGTGGTCCATGCCTGCATCCCTCTACCCTGGAAGCTAAAGCAGGAGGATGGGTGGTCCATGCCTGCATCCCTCTACCCTGGAAGCTAAAGCAGGAGGATGGGTGGTCCATGCCTGCATCCCTCTACCCTGGAAGCTAAAGCAGGAGGATGGGTGGTCCATGCCTGCATCCCTCTACCCTGGAAGCTAAAGCAGGAGGATGGTGGTTCAAGGGCAGCCTGGACAAAGGTGAGAGACCCTATTTTAGAAACAGAAAAGGGCTCTAAGCAGAGATGATGAAAGATTTTGTATTTTCACTGACCATCACCATATGAATGGAAGGTACTAGAAGTGGGCAGACCTGCTTAGGAAGCTACTGCAGTGAGCCTGAAGGACAATGACAGCAGGAATTAGTTACGGCAGAAGAAAAATAAAAAGACTAGGTAGCTAGTCACAACTGAAGTTGGTGGGGAGCTCAAGGAGGTCACCCTGATTTCAGTTTCCCATAAGTAGGTGGGTCAAGATGCTACCACCAAGCATAATAGCATAAGCCTTTAGTCCCAGCACACAGGAGGTAGAGGCTAAAGGATCTCTGTGACTCCAAGACCAGCCTGGGCTACACAGAAGTTCCAGAACAGCTGGGGCTATATAATGAGACCTTGTCTTTAATTTTTTTTTTTTTTTTTTTTCAAAAGATGCTATCTATCCCTGACAGACAGAGGGAGCATGCTAGGAAGATTTCCAGGTTGTGGTGCTTTGTTTCCTAGAGACTAGGAACAAGGTAGAAATGCAAAAGGGAAGAAAAAAAGGCTCTCCCAGTATGCAGAAGCAAGTGCTAGAGGTCAAAAGAGATGGGAAATGAATGTACCAAATGAGGAAGAAAAAAAGGAAATAGGCCTGCAGAGTCAGCCATAAAACACACTTACACATTCCTATTCCTCCCTACCACTTAAAACCTTTTGAATTACTTCAAAGTAGAGTTAAGAGGTTTAATATGTAATACCTGAGAGAACAAAAGATTAGTATGAAAGAATTTCAAAGTATATTACTGGAGATTTTCCCCACTTTGACAATGAGGGAAAGATGGAGAATGTCTGTGTGTAGGGAAGGAGGAATTGAGTGCCAGCCTGGAAGAAAGGAAGCCAAAGGAAGACTGATGGCTCCACTTCTCGAATTTTCACAGTTTAAGCACGTTTTATCTTCACCTCCGGACAAATGGCTGTTCTTGTCCTCGTGTGCTAAGGGAATGCAGAAATAGCTCCATACTTCAGGCCCTTATTTGAAATCGTGGCTTCCACCGCCCTCATGTGGTAGCAGTGAGGAACTGCACCAACATGTTACAGGACCCTGAGAATACCCACATGAAGTTCATGGTATAATAATTAATCCATGACCAAAGACTTAATGATTGCAGTGGCAGAGGCCAAACTGGGAATAGTGCTTGCTATGGGATTTATCTTCTAGGCCAGCAACACACAAAAACCTGAGGTTTTGTTGTTAACTGGGGATAACAAAAAAGATGTCTTCTTTTTAGTCTATTTTTTCATGCTAAAAAACACATATTTAGCAATTCCAGGACACCCAGTCTGATACTGTCATTTCAAATCCAATTCATGGTATATTTGGCTATTTACAATGTCTCAATTTTATTTTAGTGGCACATACAAATGGATTAGTGAACATTTCTGACACATTAAAACCGTATCACAAATATTAGTAATTGTCTCATTGAATAAGTAAAATTCCCTTTGTTATCTTCAAATTAATAAACTGATTTTTTTACTACCTAAATGAACACAAGTCACAGTAGTGAACACAATTCAGAAACCATGAGGTTTCCAAAACTGATCTAAACAAATACATCACTGATACAATCAACTTAACACTAGTCACACATACACAAAAAAACATGGCGAAGGTCTAATACATCATTCCTGACAGTTCTCTTCACGGTGAGAAAACACGATTGCCCAATATAATGATTGGCATTCTGGGCATGACTGAATTCTCTACCTTCCTTTTAACAAACTGAAAATTTATTTATGAATGTATTATTTTAAAACTGTTTACACACATATCATTTTGACGTCGGGCTTTTTTTATTTTTAAGGCATGTGAACTCAAAAGACCAGAACATGAAATTATAGCAATAGGTATATTTTTCCAATTTTCAGTTTTGATACCGGGGTCACAGCATCATGTTTCCTTATATTTTTGATCTTTATTTCCCCTTTTAAAATCTAGACACCATTATCCATTCTGTCTCTGGACATCCCCAAATATTAATGATTCAACCGTTTCCCTTAGTCTTTTGGTTCTTTTTCCCATATCCTCCCCAGCCAACATTCACACACACACACACACGTACTTTCTCACACACACAACCCACATACACACACAAACACACACACACACACACACTTTCACAAGCTCACTCCATTTCAAAATCAACTCTTACACAGTTAGGTGGCTTCCCCCCCCCCCCCCTTTAAACCAAATCACTCTTTGTATTGCTCTTGTCTCCTCTCCTTAATTTGGCACTCTTTCCCAAATAATTTTCCACAACTAAACGCCAATGTCTTTCTTTCACAACATGAACCCGCGGAAGGGGAAAGATTAGGAACCGGACAAGACAAACATTTGGGGATGCCAAAGAGACAGCGGCCTCTGCTCCGAGAGGAAAACACAACTCTCAACACGGAGCTGTCGACACAGCCAGACTTTTCTTCGGGCGTGCTCGGGTCCCCTCCTGACCTCAACGCCACCTTCCCGGGGCTCTGCCTGCCTCCCTGTCCTCGGCTGTGTCCGAGCCGCAGCCGCAGCCCGGCGGCCGCCGCCTTCTCGCCGGCAGCGGCCCCGCCACTCACCTGGCAGGTGCGGCCGTCCGGAGAGCTGCACGAATCGGTTGAGCTGGCCGGTGCCCCGACCCCCGCCGGCCGCTCCGGCCCCGCTACCCCCGCTGGCGCCGCCGGCCGCGCCTCCTCCCCGCCGACGGTTTCGGTCCCAGCCCTGGGCAGCCGACATGGCCCGCTAACGATTGCCGCAGCCCGGTCCCGGCAAGCCCCTGCCCCGGCAGCGCGAGCCGAGCCTCCTTCCCGGGCTCCTCAAGAGACCGGGGAGACAGGGGCCGGGGGAGCGCCGGGCTCGCCAGCAACCAATGGCTGGCCGCCTTGGTGACGGAGAGCCAATGAACAGTCGCCTTCTTGGCAGGTGTGGGGAGAGACTTGGTAACCATAGCTATAGCAAAAAAAAAAAAAAAGGCGGGGGGGGGAGGAAAGGCAAAAGCAGCCGCTCGCAGAGCGCATCAACTTCCCAGAGCGATCCCGCTTCTCTGCCACTCTGGGTCCTCAGAACACTCCATCGAAAGCCGAGCGGGGAGGCTACGCCTGAAGACTCCCAGACTAGGCGGCTGCCCCGGGCACGGTCGGCGCTCCAGAAGCTCTGTCCCATAAGCACGGTATTCAGAAGTATCTCACGTACCCCAGGCATGCATTTGGTGTCAGTGTATCTGTCCGCAGCTCTGCAGACTGACACCCCGACAGTTGGCACACACAAAGGGCTCACGAGGGGTGGAGGGGGGGGGGCGGAGTCAGAGATGAAATCTAAAAAAACGTGATATTCCTGGGTTTCATCATTTGTTTTGTCTCTTACTGGCATTGGCGGGACCCGTCCCCTGTATAAGCCACGTCCCGAGCAAACATCTTTAAGTCGTGCAATCTTAAGAGTAATCATAGAAACACAAATGAAAACTCCAGTGAGAAAAATCTTTCAGTGAAGATCTTAAAATAACACACGGCTTGTGCCGTGCCAAGAAAAAGATATTCGTATAGATGACCGATGGCCGTGTATATGGTTTTGCTGGGGGAGGGAGGGGAGAGGAGAGACACACAACCAGCCTCCATTCTTTTACAATATACAGAATGAAACACATGTAAAATTAAAATAAATGACAGCGAATGGAAAGGACGGTGTAATTAAAACAATCAAAGTCAGAAATTCCCATTGTACCAAAATTAAACAGAAAATTTGACTTTGAACTTGGGGAGCGCAGTGCAAAGTGGGAAAATGCAGATACACACTGCTGTTCCCAAATAAGGGGGAAAAAACATAAATTTATCGAGGGAAACAAAACTTTGCAAGGTTCTGAGATCCGATCTGATGATCTCCTGGGCCCCACCATGATTCACACAGGAGAACCTCACACGTTGGATTTTTTCTTTTATTTTTCTTTTTTTCTCTTTTTATTTTTTTCCCTAAGGATTGGGGGTAGGGGAGGAGAAAGATCTGGGATGAGAAGTATCCTTTGATCCCAATGAGCAAATTGCATGTCATCACGAGACTTGTACTATTGTATCCCCACACCCAGTTTCTGTAGGAAAAGAAGAATTTTATCCATTAGTCATTATCAAGCAATGTATAAAAAACGTTTGCCATCTGGGAAAAAAGGAAGCCTTCAGCACTACGGAATGTAGATAGTTCAGTTGCCCATACCAAGCCCTGTTTGCAGTCCCCACCACCCGCTAAAACCCAATGATGGTGCCTTTGTAATCTCAGCACTGAGGAGATGGTGGCAGGAAGATCAGGTATTCGAGTCCAATCTCTGATACACAGCAAGTTCAGCTATATAAACTCCTGTCTCAAAAAATAAATAAATAAAACTGACCAGGGACGACCAAGGGCTAGAAGGATGAGTACAGAGCACTGGCTCAGCTTGCACAGGATATGGGTTTGATTCCTAGTACCCACATAACAGTTCACACCCATTTGTAACTCCAAATGCAGGACCAAACACTATCTTATAACCTCTTCCAGTTGCTGGGCATACAAGTGATGCGCAGACAGACAGACACAAGGCAAAACATTCAGACATGTGTGGGCAAGGCTAAACAAAACTCCATTGTGATGGCTGTTGCCTCTAATCCCAGCCCGACACTTCACTGGTAGAAATAGGAGGCTCACAAATTCAAGTTCCTTGGCTGTGTAATGAGTTTAAAGCTATTCTACGATACGCGCAGCTCCCCAACCACCCCCCCCAAAAAAGTCTGTGATTCTAAACGATGAAAAACAAACTAAAGAGCATCAACTCTCTCTCTCTCTTTTTAAGGATTTATTGATTTATTATGTATAGTGTTCTGCCTGCATGAATATGTATGCCTGGCTGCCAGAAGAGAACACCAGATCTTGTTATAGATGGTTGTGAGCCACCATGTGGTTGCTGGGAATAGAACTCAGGACCTCTGGAAGTTCTCTTAACCTCTAAGCCACCTCTCCAGCCCCTTTAGTCATCTCTCCAGCTCCCATTTTAATTTTTTTTAAAGAACTGTGCCACCATGCTGGAGAGTTAAGAGCACTGGTTGCTCTTGCTGTGAACCTGAATTTGATTCCCAGTACCTACATAGCAGCTCACAATTGTCTGTAACTCCGGTCCCAGAGAATCTAATTCCCTCTTCTGACCCCCCATGGCACCATGCACACATAAGGTGAACAGACATACTTGCACACAAAACATCCATACACATACATTAAAAAAAAAAAAAAAAGACTTATACCAACTGAATAACCCAATACTAATGTAAGGAAATTTTCTCTTTATAGGAGTATTCCATATAAACAAGGTATGGTAGATTACCACCATTTTGCCACCTTTAATAATTGAGAGATCTTCCTCTGGAATGCCAGCCACCCCAAGCATCACATGGCAACATGTACCTTCAGGGAAAAACAAAAACAAAACAAAAGGGCCGTGGTGGCAAAGGCCTTTAATCTCAGCTCTTGGAAGGCAGAGACAGATGGATCTCTGTGAGTTCGAAGCCAGCTTGATCTACAGAGCAAATTCTAGGATAGCCAGAGAAACCCTGTCTCAAAAAAAAAAAAAAAAAAAAAAAAAAAATTTGTACCCTCAGAACATAACATGATTATGCAGTGGGCTTGTGGCGGGGGACAGTGAGAACCGATGAGGGCAGGGGAATGGCTCCATGGGTAGAGGCAGAGAGAATGTAGGAGCTGAAAGACGGGAAGAAGTCCTGTGAAATGCTGCTCACTGCATTTGAAATGAAGAGTAGCTAGGGCTGCCTGCCTGCACCAACATTCCAGCAGAGGCATGTGTGTATGGGGGCGGCGGCGTCATGCGGCTCTACTTTTAGGTGAGGAACTACGGACCACTGATGGCTGCTGGAGGACAGGACGATCATTTTTCTTCAAGGGTGGGGCTACTAGTAGTTGCCCAAGCTCCAGTGTAGGGACCCACACCCACACACATGCCAGGAACACCAACTGGACTCGGTTATTTGTCCAAACTCTGTTAACTCTCAAAAATCCTAAGTTCCCTCATACTTATTTTCATCCTTATTGTTACCTTTCCCAGAACATTCCTTGTCTCCTGGTATGCATAACTATTAAAGTTAAACTTTCTGTGTTGATATTAATGTTTAAGTCTTCCTCGGTGAACAATCAGATTTCCTAACAGAATCTTTGAAGTCTCCAGAAAAAAGATGGGCCCCACACCTTTAATCTAAACACTCAGGAGGCAGAGGCAGGGAGATCTCTGTGAGTTCAAGACCAGCCTGGTCTATGAAGTGAGTTCCAGGTCAGTCAGGACTGTTACACAAAGAATCCCTATCTCAAAAAACAAAACACAAAAACAAACAAAAAAAACTTAAGGAAAGAAAATTGTGTGGAAATATTTATAGCTAAACCCCTGTGATAGAGCTAGAAAATGGCTCAGTGGCTGTTGTTTCAGAAGACTCAGGCTTAATTTTCAGAACACACATAGTAATTCACAACCATTTGTAACTCCAGTTCCAGGAGATCTGATTCCCTCTTCTGGCCTTTCTAGGTACACAGACAAATATGCAGGCAAACACACTTATGCACATAAAAATAAATAAACACATTTAAAACACTGTGATATTAATATTTAGTATGTGTTTTAGAATAATGAGAGATGGGAGTGGGGCAGGGATGTGCCAGAGTGGGATGGAGGACCCTGGAGAAGAAGATAATTCAGATTAGAATTGCTAAGAATTGATGCTAACTATAGCTGGGTGATGAGTCCTTAGAGTTCATTGTATTCTCACTCTAGTTTTTAAAAAGTAGATTTGGCTTTTCCCGCTCTCATAGAAAGGTGTTTAAAAATGGTTCCCAAAGGAACACTTCTAGATGACACTGTGTAGACTGTGAACCTTGGCTGGTAATGATGTGTCAATACTGGTTCGTTGATTCTAACAAATGAGCTCACATGCTGGTGCAGTGTGTTGATGGATGGAATGACTACACACAGGGACAGGGTGGCTGTGAACTCTCTGTACTTTCTATTTAATTTGCTGTGAGCTGAAAATCACTCTGAAAAAAGAAGTCATTTGATTAAGAGTGGGATTTGTGGGAAACCCTGCCCAGGGCCTAGGAAAAACTAGAGAAATCTTCCCTGGAGATAGTCAAGTAGACGGCTCTACTGTGGAGGATAGGATAAACTACAGAACCTTCTGTTTGTTTAAGAGAGAGAGACTCATGTAGCTCAGCAAAAACAAAACCAAAAAAATACCTGGAGCAAAGGATATCCTGTGTAGCAAAGGATAAAAATGTTGAACCTCTTATCCTTCTGCCCTCCACTTCCCGAGGGCCATTTTGCCCGATTTATATGGTGTATGCTAGGCATACACAATCCCAACTGAGCTACATCCCCATCCCACAGGGCCTTCAACACTCTTCCTCCCCCCATGCCCAATTTAATATTTGATTACTATTAGAGTACAATAGGGTTGTGTTTAGCAAAACTAGATTCCAGAAGCCCAGTAACTTGAGTTGTCTCCAAGATAAAGACCTAGAATTTATTTACTTGTTTGCTTGTCTATTTATTTGTAATGTTGATTTTTTAAAGAATTTTTAGCTGGGTCCCGGTGGTGAACGCCTTCAATCCCAGCACTTGGGAGACGGAGGCAACATGTGTATACCGTGCCCGTGGGCTTCAGATTTCCCTAGAACTGGAGTTACAGGGCACTGGGCACCAAACCCAGGTCTTAGCAACTGTTCTTAACCACTAGCCATAGTCAGGCTGTGTTGGCACACACCTTTATTTCCAGCACTCAGGAGGCAGAGGCCGGTGGATCACTGTGAGTTCAAGGCCAGCCTGGTTACAGAGTGAATTCCAGGACAGCCAGGGCTACACAGAAAAGGCTAAGCTTAAAAAGTCTTATAAAGCACATACATCACACTCCTAAAAGAAAAAAATAATAGTAATAGGTATGTAGCAAAAGAAAAGATTTACCTGAGCAGTGGTGGTGCACACATTTAATCACAGCACTTGGGAGGCTGATGCCGTTCAAGGGTAACCTGGTCTACAAAGTAAATGCTAGGACAGCATGGCTACATAGACCCTGCCTGGAAAGAGAGAGAGAGAGGAAGAAAGAAAGAAGGGAGGGGAGGGCAAAAATAAAGATTAAGCAAAGTTTAGATATTCAAGATTTAAAATTAACTAAAAAAATACATTTTTCTTGTTTCTCTCAAAGGAAATACTTTTGAAAATGGCGTTTTCCTTTTTCTTTGTTTTGGTTTTGTTTTTTCAAGACAGGGTTTCTTTGTGTAGCCCTGGCTGCCCTGGAACTCACTGTGTCTCTGAGTGCTGAAATTAAAGGTGTGTGCCACCACCATCCCAATATATGGCCCTTTAAGGTGGGTTTATGAGCTACACTAGTTATGTTCAGGGATGAGAAAGGAATGCTCACACATTTGATACAACAGAGCTCAAGCTCAATGCCGCAGGCATTCCAGCTCTACATAAATTGTTTTTTAAAACATTCTTTTTCCTTTTTCTTTCTTTTCTTTTTTAGATTTCTGAGACAGGGTTTTTCTGTGTAGCCCTGGTTGTCCTTGAACTTGCTCTATAGACTAGGCTGGCCTAGAACTCAGAGATCCAACTGCCAGCCTTATTATTACTATATTACTACATTTTTGCTGCCAGGCTTGGTGTTACACACCTTTAAACCTGGTACTTGGGAGGCAGAGGCAAGTAAGTAAATCTCTGTGAGTTCTAGGCCAGCCTGGTCTACAAAGCAAGTTCAAGAACAGCCATGGCTCTGTTAAAAACTTGTCTCAAAAACAAAGCATATAAATAAAAATAATCTTGTTGGAGGAAAACAAGATGCTTTCAGGAAAATTAGTATTATCTTTGAAAGCTATTTTCAGTTTTGCTGAAATTTCTGGCTCTTGGCCAGAGCAAGGATGTAGGAAGAAGAATAGTTCTTGCAAGCAGAATATAGAAAATCACAAAGAATGGACGTTAACATGGGTGGAAAGATCAGGAATTATGAGAACAAGAAAGGTTACTATGGTGATGGGGCTAATGGTTATATGCTAGGCTGATCTTGTAAAATAGGGCTAGTTACTGAATCATCAAACCTTTGTGGAATAACTGAAGGCTCTAAAGAGAAAGCCAGAGTATGAAAGAAGTTTCTCACAGGTCTTGGCCCACAAGGAAATAGACCCCAACCCTGGAACAAATTATTCCAGATGACCAGCCCTATCTAGGTCACACCTGCTCAATGGACAGTCTGGGGTCTTTCCAAGTCATTCTGTAGTTTATCCTTTAAAGAACAGGTCATACCTGGGTGATCTCTCAAACATGAGATCATACTTTGTAATTAATCACCTTGTGCCCCATGCATGTATGCTGATTTGTGGTTTGTCTCTATAAAAAGAGAGCCTAAACCCTTTGAGGGATGTGCAGCTTTCTCCGAGATTTCTGACACCTGAGTGCACTCATTCAATAAACACCTCTTGCTTGTTGCATCTCCTGGTTTTGGTGTTTGTGTAGCAGGGCTCTCCCACTGGCCCATTAGAACCCTGAAATTAGGGTCTTACATAACCAAATTGTGGAGTAAGAATTCCTTTGTCCCTTCCTTTTTGGAAGCAGGGCCTTCTTATAGGGTTCTGGCTGGCCTGGAACTATGTAGATCAGGTGGCCTCAGACTTGCAGAGATCTGCCTGCTTCTGCTTCCCAAGTGCTAGATCTATAGGCCTCAGGGTCCAGTGTTTGGCACAGTGCCGGAGTCAGAGGTCCGTAGAAAAAGTCCTCTTTTTTTCACTCTTCCTACACACCAGTCATCCAGCTGGAGGTTTTGGAAGATCTCACGCAGATTTCTTCCCAACAACTTCATTTACCTCAGTACTAAGACTGGGTCCATTCCCACCTCCTTATCTACTGCTCTATATTTAATAAAAAAAAAAGTGATCGCTGGGTGCTGGTGGTGCATGCCGTTAGTTAGTTCCAGCATTAGGGAGGCAGAGGCAGGAGGAAGATTTGCTTATGTTATGTGTATATATGTGTGCCTGTGCGTATGTATGTATACCGTGTTCATGCAGGTGCTCAGGGAAGCCATAAGGGGGCATCAGATTCCCTGGAACTAGAGTTACAGGAGGTTGTGCTAGGTGTCAGGAACCAAACCCACGTCCTCTGCAAGAGCAGGCAAGCTGACAGTACTCTTAACCAGTGAGCCACCTCTCCAGGTCTCCACCTTCCCTTTGAAAAGAAACCTTTAAAGGGTTATTTATTTAATGTGTATGAGTGTTTTGCCTGCATGTATGTATGTGCACCATGGAGGTTCAAAGAAATTGCCGGAGCTCCTGGAACTGGACAAGGGATGGTCATGAACCACCATGTAGATGCTGGGAACTGAAACTAGGTCCTCTACAAGAACAACAAATGCTCTTAGCTGCCAAGTCTTCTCTCTAGGCCCACTCCCTTTTGAAAGGTAACCTAGGCTGGCCCTGAACATCATAGCTAAGACTGGCCTGGAGTTTCTAATACTCCTGAGTGGCAGAGGCATCAAAGAGATCCTCAATGGGCCAAGATCCTGAACTGGCCTCCTTTGAAGCATGCATAATCATAATTTTAAAATTATAGGAAGGAGCCAGGCATTGGTGGCTCACGCCTTTAATCCCAGCACTCGGGAGGCAAAGGCAGGTGGATCTCTGTGAGTTCGAGGCCAGCCTGGTCTACAGAGGGAGTTCCAGGACAGCCTCCAAAGCTACACAGAAAAACCCTGTCTCAAAATAAAAAAAAAAAAAGAAAATTATAGGAAGGGTGTGGGGCTTAAGCTCAGTGGTAGAGCACTGGCGTCAAGGTCTTGTCTTGGTTTGGTTTGCCAAGTGGCACAGGACAAATGAACAAACAGTAAGACAGGAAAACAACTTGCTTGATGTCAAACTCTACTCAGAACCAGTTGTGTCTAGCAAGGGGTGTGGCTCAGGGATGGAGTGCTTACCTTGCTTGTGTGAAGCTATGGGCTTGATCCCCAGCACGGCCAACAACAGCAAAAACCGTGTAAATCTCTTTTTGCTGCAGTTCCTAGTAATATTAAAGCAATAGTTAATAAAAGTTTGCTAAACAAAAGAGGATGGTGTCAAAGCTAAGGGCTTCTTCCACTCATAACAATCCTAAGAAGAGTTTCAAGTTATTTGCTGTCAGCTGAGAATTGCTGTTTCCTTCATCTCTGCTAAATCTGGAGAGATGTCGATTTCAAACCCTTTTATTGTAGTGGCTCACATGTTTAATCCAAGCACTTGGGAGGCAGAAGCAATTGGATTTTTTGAATTGCAGGACTACATAAAATCCTGTATCAAAAAAGAAATTCTTAGCTGAGCAATAGTGGTGCACACCTTTAATCCCAGCACTCAGGAGGCCGAGAAAATTAGATCACCTGGCCTACAGAACGAGTTCCAGATCAGCCAAGGCTGCACAGAGAGCACCTATCCTGAAAACATATGTACGTACATACATACATACACACATACATACACCTATATATATGCTAGTTCATCAGAGAGAAGCCACCTACGTTCAGTCTTAAACATTATGATCATTCTCTTTCTCTCTCTTTTTTTTTTTTTTTTTTTTTTTTTTTTTTCATGACAGGGTTTCTCTGTAGCTGTCTCGGATCTAGCTCAGTAGCCCAGGCTTTCCTCGACTCATAGAGATCTGCCTGTCTCGGCCTCCCGAGGGCTGGGATTAAAGGCGTGAGCCACCAATGCCCCTCCCTATAATCACTCTTAAATCATTTTAGATAACCAGGAAGGGGTGGGGCCTGAAGTCAATATTTGGAGAGGCCAGAGGGGCGGCTCTTAACCCAGAACGGAAGTTCCTGAGCCTTCAGACGCGTGGGGACACAACTGAGGGACGGACCAAGATGGCGGCTCCCAGCGAGGGCCCGCTGTTCGCCGCGGGTATTGAAAAGACTTGGGGTGCAGTTGTTCGTTCCCCTGAAGGGACACCCCAGAAAGTTCGACAGCTGATAGATGAGGGAATTGTCCCGGAAGAGGGAGGCACAGAAGCGTAAGTTCCCCAGGCTGTGGTTTGGGCGCTGGAAATTGCTGTGGCTTTGGGAACTCGGGCCTGGAACTGGGGCGGGGGCGCCGGCGCGGGCGCGGCGTGCGGCAGCTTCAATCCGTGGCTTGGTGGCTGGGGTCGAATTCTTCCTGGGATGTGAAAGACGCTGGGCTTCTCTGATTGCTTGGCTTCGGTAGTCTCCGGATGTACCTGATGCTGCATCCCTAGTGAACTCTTGTGAAAGGCCATTTTTTTTTTTTTTTTTTTTTTGAGGGAGAAGGAGATGAATAAGCAAACCTGAATACTAATTAGGGTTCATGCGGTGGGTTCTCACAGTCTGAGGACGCGTAGGAACCCCTTTTCCGAAGAACACTCTTAAATGCATGAAGCAAATGTAGACGGGATCATAAATGAAACCAATTACACGGTATCAAGAAGGGAAGTAAAGGTGGTGGCATACCCTTTCCCTCCCGCCGTCCTTCCTTAATTAATTAGTTAATGCTGGGCCAGGAGTACAGCTAGCCCAGTGTGCACTGAGCCCAGGATTTGATCCCTAGCACTACATTAAGCGGACACTGGAAGTACACAACTCTGAGGTGTGCAGGTGGAGGCAGAGCGGAGGTTCTGAAGTTTCAGGCCAACTTGAGGCCCTGTCAGAGAGAGATGTGGGGAGGGGGAGGGGGACAAGAGAGAGAGTTAAAGTAAATATTTTTTTCCCTTGGTGACAAATTCACAGATACTGCTCAGACTACAGTGGGTTTGGCTTCTCTTAACCTTGAAATTGAAGCCATACTATATTTCTCAGAGATTTATGAAATAAATATTATGTAATTGCCATCTAGGTTTAGGGGTCTTCTGATCCCCCACCCCCTAAGAACTCCTTCTTCTTGAGGCTCTCTGTAAGTGTCTGAAGAAGATTCTTGGAATTATTTCTTTTTCTTCCAAGTCGTAGTTATCGGTGTTATCTTACTGCTAAAGAAGTTTCTAGCTGAGCATAGTGGGTTGCACTTGCAATACCAACACCTGAAAGTCTGAAGCAAGAGGATTGATGTAAATTCTGGGTCAGTTTGTTATGTAGTGAGTTCCAGGACTAGCCTGTGTTACAAAATGAGACCCAGTCTCTAAGAAACAAACAAAGCAGAGATAGTCCAGGTGGCTCAGTAGATAAAACCCTTGCTGTGCAAACCTGATGTTTGAGTTACCTCCCTGAAACCTACTTAAGGGTGGAAGGAAAGAACTGACTCCTGAACGTTGTCCTTTGAACTCTGGAGGCATGCCATGCTATTCAGACTCACACTCATAGATCGATCACACAATGCATGCATTAGAGGCACTTGCCAGTAAGTCTGGTGACCTGAGTTCAAGTCTTGAACCCACATAAAAGTGGAAAAAGAGAGATCTGACTCCACAAAGTTGTTCTTTGACCTCTGTACATGTGCCCAGGAGCATTCATTCACATGTATATCACACATGCACACACATGCATGTGCATACACAATAGTAATCCCAACACTAGAGGATGAAGCAGGAGGATTGCTGTGGATCCCAGGCCAGCCAGGTTTAGAGAGATGAGACTCTGTCTCAGGAAAAGAAAAAAGAATTTTTTTCCTCTGAGGTGTTTTAAATTGTACTATTATTAGTCAAAACCTGAATCCTTGAAGGCCTTATTTTGTATTTACTAAAGTTTTACAAAATATTATTGGAGAACTGTGAATGAGCTAGGAGGGTCTGGCTAAACTTTAAAGAGTTGTGACTTCCAGATTGAAGAATTTAGAATCTATGTAATGAATATTATGAAGAAAATGCTGTATTAAGGAGAGGAATGGCTTGACTAAAATGGTGACAGTTGAAATGATTTTTAGAAACTTAAAATCTAGTTTGGGTTTGATATGTAATATGTGTAGAATAGCTAGACTCAGCTGAGCGGTGGTGGCTTGGGCCTTTAATCCCACTGGAGGCGGAGGCAGGTGGATCTCTGTGAGTTCAAAGCCAGCCTGGTCTACTGAGCGAGTTCCAGGACAGGCTCCAAAGCCACAGAGAAACCCTGTCAAAAAAAAAGAATATCTAGACTCAGAAGATTTAAGCAAAATAATAGAGACCAGATCAGTAACACTCCTACTACTTGGTTTCAGAAAGGACACATCTGCCACATTCCAGCCAGTCAATGGATCGCCTCAAGCAGAACAGCCCCCATTGGAATCTACAAGCAAAGAAGCCTTTTTTCACAGAGTGGAAACCTTTTCTATATCCTTTTCAGTTAGTGTAAGGGGTAGCCTGTTGCAGAATTGTTACTGTAGAGTCCTATAGTGCACACTTGGATCTTTTGTGTTTGCTTTATGTGTGTGGTGTTTTGCCTGTGTGTGAATTACATGTGTACAGTGCCCACAGAGTCCAAAAAAGGGCATGAAATCATATAGGTCTTTCACTAGTTTGGTTAGTGTTGCCTCAAGATATTTTGTTATTTATGGCTTTTATAAAGGGTGGTATTTTTCAGATTTCTTTCTTAGCCAGTTTATAATCTGTATGTAGGAGGGCTGCTGATTTTTTTTGAATTAATCTTGTATCCAGCCACAATCCTAAAGGTGTTTATCAGTTGTAGGAGTTCCCTGGTAGAATTTTTGGGTTTGTTTTTTCAAGGCATGGTTTCTCTGTGTATCCCTGACTGTCCTGGAACTCACTCTGTAGACCAAGTTGGCCTTGAACTCAGAGATCTGCCTATTTCTGCCTCCCCAGTGCTGGGAATTGTAGGAGCCATTTTATTTACTGTCTGCTAAAAATGTGTTCAAGTTTTACTTGTGCTTGGTTTTCATGTGTGTTGTTTTTCTTAACATGAATACTCTTTGAAATGGGCAGGGAAGCCCCCTGAGCTGTCTCCACTTATCTGTGCAAAATACGGCTGGGTCACTGTTGAATGTGATATGCTCAAGTGCTCCAGCTGCCAGGCTTTCCTCTGTGCCAGTTTACAGCCGGCTTCTGACTTCAACAGATGTAAGTATAAAGTACAGATCACATTTACTCCACCCTCAAAGGCACACGAGCTGGTAATGTAGCCAGCGGTAGAGCACTAGCTCAGTATGTACATACAAGGTGCTGGGCTGGCCATCTGTCTGAGTGAAGAATGGGCCGTATTATGTATGACAAGTGACGCTATTAGCCTCAGTTCCACTATGGAGTGGCCTTGATTTTGTGCTTTCTAGATAGACAGCAGTATGTTTACCTTTTAATCCCAAGTTTGGACTTTCAGAGCAGAGAGGATACTCTGAAGGCCCATACTTTGGAAAACCCTACCTTCCAACGCACAACATGCCTCCTTTGTACCAACAAAGGATCTTAATTTGGAACTTTTTGGGGGGTAACAATTAAGATGATTTAATTAAGGGCTGGAGAGATGTCTCAGAGGTCAAGAGCACTGGCTGTTCTTCCAGAGGTCCTGAGTTCAATTCCCAGCAGCCACATGGTGGCTCAGAACCATCTGTAATAAGATCTGGTGCCCTTTCTGGTGTGTAGGCATACAGGTAGGCAGAACACTATGTACATTATTTAAAAAGTAAATCTTAATTTAAAAAGGAAGAAAGAAAGAAAAACCCATTTTGCCAGACAGTGGTGGCATACACCTTTAATCTCAGCCAACCAGGCAGATCTCTGTGAGTTCAAGATCAGCCTGGTCTACAGAAAGAACCCATTTGTTTGCTTATTTGTTTTATAAATATTTTTTTAAAAAAAGATGTGATTGCCATATTCATCTTTTTAAAGGTGTCCTAATTATTTTAAATGTATGTGTGTCTAGGTTTGTTCTCCTAAAGACTCTTGGCTCTTCGGATTTAGATATATAATAATTGCTATTTCTTGTGGCTTTCAGATAAGGAACGATGTGCTGAGCTCAAGAAATCTTTGTGCAGTGCCCATGAAAAATTCTGTTTTTGGCCAGACAGCCCTTCTCCAGGTACACATTCCAAGGATTTCCATTACCGTTTCTCCTGGGTCATCGCATTTCTAATAATGCCCATTTTCTTATGAAAACCTAATCTTTGAAGTTGTTCTCTTTTCTTCCTTTTGTGCTTTTTAAGATCTTGCATTTATTTATTACTTAACTTCCCCAGCTTTGTCCCACCAGCTCTGTGTGTGTGTGTGTGTGTGTGTGTGTGTGTGTGTGTGTGTGTGTGTGTAGCCTTTTGACTCTTCACAAGGGCCCTTCCAGGTAGATATTATGAACTTAGTTGTTCTAGGCAGGAGAATTAAGAGTTAGATCAGGAGGCAGAGGCAGGTGGATCTCTGAGCTGGAGGCCAGCCTGGGCTACAGAGTGAGTGCCAGAGATTATAACATGAATTAGAGAGAAGTCATATGATTTCCCTGATTCCAAACTCTCTCCCACAGTAATGAGCAGCCCTGTGTTCTGCCTTGGCTTCCTTTGGAAGATACATGAGTGATACGAGCAGTGGCAGTTTAACAGGGTTTGGTAACCACAGAGCTCTGAGACTTCCAACTCACCATATACCAAATGAAGGTGATACAAACCTGCAGCTTTCTTCCAGTAAATCAGTATTGTGTAACAGCACTGAAGTAAGGGTAAACCCAAGCCTGCCCCAGCCAGGATCAAGAGAAACCAGATCCTATGTCCTCCCAATAGTAAGGGCCCTACAGGGCAGTCTTTCTTACATCTGGGACTACTGATAAGTATACAGAATATTGCTGAAGAAGAGAGCTCAGAATGTACTATCAACTGGGATTTTTAGGGAAAAAAAATATTTAACAGTATATGTGTACTCACACACGTATTGAGGTCAGAGGACAACTTACAGAAGACTTTTCTCCTTCCCCCATGTGGAGCCCAGGGATTAAACCCAAGTTCAACTTGGTGGTGTGGGCCTTTACCCACTGAGTTCTACTGGCCCTCAGCTGGGATTTTGGAGGGATTTTCTTGTTCAGCTGGCACTTCTCTGCTAAGTAAATGGGTTCAACAGCAGAGCCCTCTGGTGGGGACTCTCTCCAAGTCCAGGTACAAACTTGCTCAGCCTTGAGGTTTCCTGACAGTGCTGATCATTCATCTGTGTTGTGGTTACTGGTCAGTGTAGTCCGGGTGTGTTCTATTTTCAGTAGGAGGGCTCAAGCTTCTTCCAAGGTCGATGTGGCTAGGCATATTCTATGACCACAACAGAAAAACCAATCAGAAATGATTAGATTTCTCTCTCCTGATGAAATCATTGTTAACATGAAAGTGTCTGTAGCACAGGAGTTTTCTTTCCATCTCTGGCTTATTTTCTTTCCCCTGTGAAGTGTCGCACAGCTCAGTCCTGTGCAGATGTGAGGTTCTCTGACCAGCCACTGAGGCTCTTTCGGGGGTTTGCCGGAGAGCTGTTGGTGGTTCCTAGCTCCTGTTATAGATGCTCTGTTTTCTAGATCCTCTCACGACTTGTCTCTCCTTAAAGAACTTAACTCCTATCTAGAGCTCTTTGATGGTGACTCATTTTCAAATACCTCATTAACACTTCTGCTTAATGTTGTTATAGGCGCCTGGCACTCAGCAGTGCAAAGCTGAACTATCCACTATCTAAAGGTTTGCCCTGACCTTCCCATTCAGTTATTTCTGCCAGAAACCTGGAAGCCATTTTAATATCTTTATGCTTTTCTTTTTAAAAATTTTTTTAAAAATTATTTATTACATATATTAATTATACGTCTTTGCATTTAGTGTCCTCAGGCCAGAGGAGGGTGTCGGATCTCTTGGGACTGGAGTTACAGTTGTTCAATGCCATGTGGTGCTGGGAATCAAACCTGGGTCCTCTGGAAGAGCAGCCAGTGCTCTTAACCACCGAGCCATCTCTGCAGCTCCCCCTCCTCTTTTTTTTTTGCTTGTTTTGTTTCAGACAGGGTCTCACGCTGTCACCCCGGCTGGGCTGAAACTCAATATGTAGACCAAGCTAGCCTTGAACTCAGTGATCTACCTACATCTGCCTCCCAAGAGGCGTAACTAAGAATGCGCCAGGCCCACGCTGGAGAGGTGGCTCAGTGGTTAAGTTCACTTGGTACTCTTACTGAGCACCTGGGGTCCGCTCCTAACCATCTGTAACTCCAGTTCCAGGAGCTCTTTCGTCCTCTTGTTTGCCACAGGCACCAGTCATTTGGAGAACATAACAGACATGCAGGCAAAATACTCACATACAGAAAAATAAAACACATAAAATTAAAAAAAAAGAAACTTTTTAAAAAAGACATCACCATACCTGGCCACTGTTTTCTTTTTCTTTCCTTCCCTTTTGGTTGTTTATTTTTGTTGTTGTTGTTCTTTGAATATTTTATGTGTATGTGTGTGTTCCTAAATGTATGTGGCTATACTACGTGTGTGCAGGAATCCTGGGAGGTCAGAACAGGTACCAGATCACCTGAAACCAAAGTTACAGACAACGTTGGGTGCTGGGAACTGAGCACCCTGGTCCCCTGCAAGATTAGTCAGCACTCTTAACTGCTTGGCTATCTCTCCAGCCTATAGGCCCACTCCCCATTAAGAGGCATTATAAATGCTCAGCCAATAGCTCAGGCTTGTTACTAGCTAACTCTCACATTTTAAATTAACCCATTTATATTAATATACACTCTGCCTCATGGCATTATCTCTCTTTCATCTTGTGCCTCCTGTTTTCCTCTCAGTCTGGCTAGTGACTCCTGACTCCACCCCTTTTCTTCCCAGTGTCCTTAGTATGGTTCTCACGCCTAACCTTACACTGCCCATCTATTGGCCAGTCAGCTTCTTTGTTAAACTAATCACAGTGACATATATTTGCACAGTATAAAGGAATATTCCACACGTACCCACTCCTTTTATTTGTTTGTTTGTGGTTTTTGTTTTGTTTATTGGGTTTTTGTTTTTGAGATAAGGTCTTATTATATAGCTCTGGCTGTCTTGGAACTTACTATATAGACCAGGCTGGCCTTAAACTCAGAGATCCATCTACCTCTGCCTCCCAAGTGCTGGGATTAAAGGTGTGTGCCACCATGTTATTTTTCTTATTACCAACCTTATTCTTTCTCCAAAGATCTCAGATACAGCTTTCAATAGTATCATCTTTAGTTTGGCTTTTTAATATCCAAGTAACTTTTATGTAGAGAAAGGAATACCCACACTGACTTATACTCCAATGCTTAATTTATGTGTATTCCTAATAAGTATAATTTGTTGGAGTTTGTTTTAGTTTTTGAACTACCACCCAGGCAGGCCTTATACTTAGCACAAAGTTGAGGATGGTCCTGATCCTATATCTTCTGAGTGTTGGGATTGTAGGCATGTGCCACCATGACCTGGCTAATAATTATAGTTTTTATGATAATTTTTTAATATTCATTGATAAATCACAAATTTACTAGAACAAATTTTTAATATATATGCATTCTTTAGACTGCATACAAATATATTAATTATAAAGCATATTTAAACTTACTGTAGAACTTGTTGGCACCCTGCTTTTCTTTTTTTTTTTTTTTTTGAGACAGGGTCTCACTATGAGTGTACTTCTGGCTGTCCTGGAACTTGCTCTGTAGTAGACCAGGCTGACCTAAAACTCAAAGAGATCCACCTGTCCCTGCCTGAGTGTTGGGATTAAAGGTGTGCTCCTCCTCCTCCACCACCTCGATATACCCTGCATTTTAATTAACCAGATTAGAAGGAACTTTTCTTCATCTTTCCTATGTAATCTCTCACTTTCTAAATGTATTTTCCCAGCATTCAGGAACACAAGAGGATTGTTGTACATTTGAGACCAATCTGAACTTCAGTATGAAAACCTACCTCAAAACAGCCCTACAAATGCTTCTCTGTGTTTTGTTTTTGTTTTTAAGAATAATTTATTGAAATTGCCTACAGGGGGCCAGGCTGTGGTGGTGCACACCTTTGATCCCAGCACTCGAGAGGCAGAGGCAGACAGATCTCTGTGAGTTCGAGACCAGCCTGGTCTACAAGAGCGAGTTTCAGGACAGACTCCAAAGCTACAGAGAAACCCTGTCTCGAAAAACCTAAAACAAAATAAGGAAATTGCCTACAGGGGAACAGGGTTCTGGGAAGTAACTAAAATGTTTCCTGCTCATTTTTTGTTGTTGGGCTTTTTGTTTGTTATTATTGCTGTTTTCTTTTTTTGAGACAGGGTTTCTCTGTAACTTTTGGAGCCTGTCCTGGAACTCACTTTGTAGAGCAGGCTAGCCTGGAACTCACAGAGATAGCCTGCATCTGCTTCCGTGCTGGGACTAAAGGTGTGTACCACCAATGCCCGGCTCATTTTGGCTTTTGAGAGGCAGTCTTGACATGTAGTTCCAGATGGTTGGCCTAAAGATTACCATGTAGGATCAGGCTGTCTTCTTGAACTTGTCACAGTGCAGGTTTGGAGATGGCAGGTATGCATCTGCCCAGCTGTATTTTCATTCTTTGTTGTTTTTTGTTTGTTTGTTTTGTTTATTAGGAGAAAGCCTTGTGTAGCTCAGACTGTCTTTAAACTTGAGCCGGTCCTCCTGCCTCAGCCTCCTGAGCATGCAGAGTACAAGTGTGCATCACTGTCTGACTTGTGTTTTTAAATAATTATGTTTGGAAAATGTATGTTTTTGGGTGTTTTGCCTACATGCATTTCTGTGTGTCATGTGTGTGCCTGGTGCCTGAAGAGCCCAGGAGAGGGCTCTGGAACTGGAGTTAACATGTTGACAGTTGTGAGCTGCCATGTGGGTGCTGGTAACCAAACCCAGGTTCCCCTGCAGGAGCAAGTGCTCTTAACTCTCAAGCCATCTCTCCAGCCCCCATGCCTGGCTTTTTACATGGATTCCGGAAATCCACATTTAGGCCCTCGTGCTCAAAGCAGGCACTTTACTACTGGAGCCATCTTCTTAGGCCAGAATTGGTGCCCCCCTTCCCTGTGAAGATGATCTCTCCTATTCTCCCCATTTCTTGGTTGCCTGTAATTCTTTGTGTAGGGCTGAGGCCTCCTGATCTCCCCGATTCCTCGATAGCATGTCTGTTGTCTAGGCAGCCATGTTTGTGAGACAATGGGTGTATCTTCTCTGACATCTCTAAAAGACACAATCCCACAGCAAATTTCTGTTCTTCTGTCTCTTCTAATCTTCCTGTTCCCTCTTCAGAAGTGATTCCTGAGCCTTAGGAGTAGTGTTGTAGATGTGCCAGTCGAGAATGGGTTCCACAACTCTGCATTTTCATGGATTATGATTTTCCGTATTGGTTTCTTGTCTTTAGGAAGGGTGAGGACTACACTTATCTGTGGGTATTAGGACAAATAGTTAGAATATAGTTATGGATTGTGATGGTTTTGTAAAGTGATGGTTGTAGGTTCCCCTTCAAGGTCCATGATTTCACTAGCCCAGGGTACGTGGCTAGCTTGCTAGTACCAGGCATGATTTCTTTTTTGTTGAGTAGGCCTTAAAAGGTATGTGTGCCATTGCTGGGCCCTTGGGGTTACGGTGCCATACTGGTCATTGTTGTGGTTCATAGGCATCATAGCTGAGTAGGACTATTGCTTTCTTCCCTCCTTCGGAAGTTTGCATGGCACTTCCTGAAACCATGAAAGGTAGTCCTCAAGAGGGAGGCTTTTACATTAGCTCCAGCTTGGGCCTCTGGGTCCTATGTCTGAATTGCATGTTGTCTTCAGCAATAGGAATTTATCTTCTACTTCACCTCACGGTGAGTTATCTGCAGTTTGATAGTTGTTATAAAATATTGTTTCTTTAATTTCTGTCTGCTACATCTAAACTTCTATCTCAGTACTTGTTTTGATTCTTCCCTGGCTTTTCCACAAGTAATCATTTTCTACATATGCAAAAGTGCAAAGAATAGTTTGTAATTAACTGCTTTCCACCTGTCACCAACTTCATTAGTTATCAGTTTTTAGCCCATCTTTTTTCCCCAGTAGTGCTGGGAATGGAACCCAGGACCCTGCCCTTACGCGGCCAGTGTTGTGCCTCCGAATTACACTCTGAACCCCTTCTTCTAGACAGCTTGTTTCTTTGTTCCTCACAACCTCAACACTCTCTGCATTGTTTAGATGTTCAGTCCTAGGGGCTGGAGGGATGGCTCAGAGGTTAAGAGCACTGTCTGCTCTTCCAGAGGTCCTGAGTTCAATTCCCAGCACCCATGTGGTAGCTCACAACCATGTTTAGTGGGATCAGATGCCTTCTTTTGGTATAAAGTTATATATGAGATAAAGCACTCATATAGGTAAAAATAAATTTAAAAAGTTCAGTCCTACTTACAGGACTTTGAATATCCCCCTCTTTCTAGGCAGGTACCAAATTGCAGGTAGCGTTTGATTGGGATGGGACTTTGTGTATGCATCTTAGGGCTGGGATTTGGTTTGGTTTGAACCTGTACAGATCTCTGTGGGCTCATATATACATAAAACAATAGTTTAATATCAACTATCCATTTTACATTTTTCTCATTGCTCTATTCATGGTCAAATTTTTCATTCCCAGTTTATTTTTCCCACAGATAGATTTGGGATGTTGCCATTGGGTGAGCCTGCTGTTCTTGTCAGTGAGTTCCTGGACCGGTTTCAAAGCCTTTGTCATTTAGACCTCCAGCTTCCTTCCCTGAGGCCAGAGGACTTGAAAACTATGGTGAGTTTTTGTTGGCTAGTGTGCTTTTGTATGTAAGCCTTCATTTGACTGACAGGAGATGGGAGTATTATGAAGAGAAGTCAGTGCCTGCCAGAAAGGCCGTAGTGAATGAATGACTTTATTTAAACTTTAGATAGGGATCTTTAAATGGCTTTGTTTTTTCAGGACAGGGTCTTGCCCTAGAACTCACAGAGCTCCACCTATTTCTACTCTGCCTCCAGAGTGCTGGGGTAAAGGCCTGCACCCCCACATCCAGCCCTACTAATTCAATTTTATCTTGCTTTGTTATTTAAGCTGCTTATTGCATATCATTTTCTAGTGCTACAGAACAAGAAATTCTCCTCTGGTGACTAGAAATGCATTTGTAGTGAAGACATGCTGTATTGAAGGCAGTAAAACCTGACCATTTGCTTTAAGTTGACACTCTGTTAGGGAGTCTAGCACTAAGTAGTTAACCTATGTTTACAGTGGCACACACGCCTTTAATCCCAGCACTCAGGAGGCAGAGGCAGGTGGATCTTAGTAAGTGATAGGCCAGCCTGGTCTACAGAGTGAGTTCCAGGACAGCCAGAACTGTTACACAGAGAAACCCTGTCTTAAAAAAAAAAAAAAAAACAGGAAGGAAGGACACCCTGACCTTCACCAAGGTAGCGCCCCCCCCCCCCCACACACACACACACACACACCTTAGTGCCTTATTATCCACAGGCCAAAAATCAAGGCTGTCAAGTTTGTTCTAGCAAAAGTAAACTCAGTGCTTGGTCAAGGCACAAAGAGTAATCTTTTTATTATTTGAGTTTGAAGTTCACAAGTTTCAGACAAAATCTGCAGTTGGTAAGTTGAGAGCCATTTGGTACTCAGAAGGAAAGCTTCTATCTCCTTCAGTCATCAGTTTAGGAAGTTAGGTTCTGTATGGCACCTTAGTGCCGTCCTATAGCATGTCTGCAAGTCATGGTGCTTTGTTGTGTGTGTGTTTGTCTGTGTGCAGCGTCTGAATCCCGGAGCCGCTTTCTAACCCGAGGCGCTTCCTTGCAGTGCTTGACTGAAGACAAGGTCAGTGCTCTGCTGCACCTGCTGGAGGGTGAGCTTGATTGCCAAACTGATGGGAGGAAGACTACAAGCAAATGGGGCTCAGACATGCAAGTCCATGTCACTGCCTGTGTTCTTTCCCTGTGTGGCTGGGCATGCAGGTCAGTACACGCTGCCTAGGAGCATGAACAAAGTGACTGTTACCATTTACAAACCACATGTTTGCAGAGAGAACAAAAAGAAATTAGGGGTCTGGAGAGATGGCTCAGCGGGTAAGAGCACTTGAGTGCTCCTGCAGAGGTCCTGAGTTCAATTCCCAGTAACCACATGGTGGCTCACAACCATCTGTAATGGATTTGATTCGCTCTTCTGGTGTGCATGAAGACAGAGCACTCATACATGACATACACAATAAACAAATCTCTGAGAGAGAGGCAGGGGCCGGGGAGGGATAGAAGTGAGTAAGAATTAGCATAAACGGGAAGGCATTCATGGTACTCACACCTGAGCTTCCTTGTGCAGCCGCCTCCTAGCTGGGAACCTGTGTTCCCATAAACAGTGCAGCTCTTTCTAAAAGTAAAGGAGCATAGTGTCCTATTTTTAGAAAGGAAGAAAATTAAGTTTACTTGACAAGAAATAGCAGAGGGGACGCCATCCGGAGCCCCTAGCCCCACATTGGCATTTCCATTCCAGCCTAGTTTGTAATGACAAACTCTCTCAGAAAAACGACTGCCAGAACCAGTCTGCTTTACTTTAGGGATTTGCTTTTTACATGTATTTTGTGTGTGTGGAGAGGCCGCACGTGCATGTGCCATGGCGTGAGTGGGGGGGGGGGGTGGTCAGAGGAAACTTGGAGGACTCAGTTCTCCTGCCCTGTGGGTTCTAGATTGAACTCGGGCTTGGTGGCAAGTAGCTTCGCCTGCTGAGCCATCTTTCTGGCCTTGATTCCTTTTATTAAAAAGATCTTTTTAAAAAGAGAGCATGAAGCCGGGCGGTGGTGGTGCACACCTTTAACCCCTCGGGAGACAGGCAGGCGGATCTCTGTGAGTTCGAGTTCAACCTGGTCTACAGAGCTAGTTCCAGGACAGGCTCCAAAGCCACAGAGAAGCCCTGTGTCAAAAATCAAAAAGTAAAAAAAAAAAAAAAAATCCATACTTCACAATATCTGTGCCAGCAAGAGCATACGAAGAGCCTAAGATGAGAAGGTAATATGGGGGTTGGGGGACGTCAGGTCCTAAGATCAGGGCTTTAAGAGTTTATGGTTCTCAGCCCACTGTAGAGACTGTTTGCTGAGATAAAACAGAAGTCATTGCACTTAGTCACATGGAAATGTCTCCTTTAAAAACACCCCCTTTCTTTCCCTTTCCTTCCTAGCTCTTTGGAACCTACACAGCTTTCCCTGATAACATGTTCCCAGTGTATGAGGAAGGTCGGTCTCTGGGGCTTTCAGCAGATCGAATCATCCCTGACAGATCTGGAGGCTTCCTTTGGCTTGACTAGCTCCCCCATTTTGGGCGTGGAGGGTCGGCCTGAGCACTTCCCTCTAGTGCCTGAATCTCCTAGACGGATGATGACCCGAAGCCAAGACGCCACAGTTTCTCCCAGCCCCGAGCAGGTATTCGCCTCTCTAGGGTAGGGTGCCTCTGTAACAGCAGGTTGGAAACTGGTGGTAGGCTTCACTTTAAACCCTGTCAGTGAGACTATCCTATCACGTTTCCCTTCACAGATGGAAAAGCTAAATATGTTATAGAAGCTAAGTATAGAAATACAATAGTCTTTGGAGAATTTAGTTTTGTAGGTGGTTGAAATACTAAATTTATATAACAAATTCTAAAATACTATGTTGCACATGCTTCTAGGATTACTCAGGCTAAAGCTATTAAGATCATTCCTATACTTCCATTGGCTTTCTTTTTCTGCAGTCTGAAAAAAGCCCAGGTCCCATTGTCTGCCGAACTCGGAGCTGGGACTCTTCCAGTCCTGTTGACCGGCCTGAGCCAGAGGCAGCCAGCCCCACCACCAGGAGCCGGCCAGTGACCCGAAGCATGGGAACGGGAGATTCTGCTGGCTTGGAAGTCCCCTCCAGCCCTGTCCGGAAAGCCAAGCGAGCTCGCCTCTGTTCTTCTGGGAGCTCAGTAAGTCTATCTTTGTAGATGGCCATGTCAGCACAAGTAGCAGAAGGTACCTTTACGCGCATCGGGGAGAGACAGGGACAGGCCCTCCCTGGATTCTGGCCAAAAGTAAATTTCGTGAGCGTAAAGACGGGACAGTTCATACTTGAGAGGTAGAGACAGGATCACGGGCGCGGAGGCCATCCTCCACTACTTCTGAGTTCAAGACCAGGGTGTGCTACGTGAAGCTGATGAGAGCTCAGTGGGTACAGGTGCTTGCTACCTGCTGTGCATTCCCAGACTCATACTGCACACACAAGCACACAAAATAAAGAGGAGGCGGAGCCAGAGTGGGTGATCGAAGGGGAGCAGTTTGGAGTGGAGTCTGGAGGGGCCCTAAGTCCTTAGACTAGGACAGCAGTACAGTAGGGCCACTGATCTGATGAAGGGGACTTTCTGGATTCCCCTCCCTACCTGGTCTCATACTGTGTCTCAGGCTGGCCTGGGACTCACTACGTCCCTAGGCTGGCCGCTTGCTTTGGAGTTGGGATGATAAGCATGACACTTGACAGGTAGCTTGTTTTGTTGTTTTGTTTATCTTTATTTTTTGAGACGGGGTGTCTATATAGACCAGACTGGCCTCAAACTCACAGGGAGTTTGAAGCCAGCCTAGTCTATACAGCTAGTTCCAGGATGGCCAGGGCTACACAAAGAAACCCTGTCTCAAACCACCACCACCCCCAAAAAAGAGAGAAGGTTCAATAGCTTAGGGTGGTCACACCTGTAATCCCAACCCTCCAGAGGCTGAGGATGGGCAAGTTCAAGGCCATTCTGGGCTGCACATTGACACTAACCCTGTCTCAACAGCAAGGGGCCAGAGTTAGAGATGTATGGAATGGGGGGGGGGGGATGAAAGGACAGTTTAAAGAGCATGTTTGGGAGGCTGCAGTGGGACAGTGACCTGACCAGCCTCGGCTACACAACGTGGCTTTCATCTGAAAACAGGAAAGGTAAGGTAGCAATGGAGACAAGGCAGAAGTGTAGGATTGTGTGACTGTGAACTTGGATGGCTGCACGCCTCCCTGACCAGACCCAGCATCTACCCTAATAACACTATGCCTTTCTTTCTCCCTCAGGACGCCACGCCCCGAAGCTTCTTTGATCCCACCGCTCAGCATAGAGATTGGTGCCCTTGGGTGAATAGCTCCCTGGCCAAAGAATCCAGGGAGAATGGGACAACAGCGGTGGATGCCGGGACCCCAGCAGAGCCGGGCTGGAAGGCTGTGTTGACCATCCTGTTGGCCCACAAGCATTCTAACCAGCCAGCGGAGATGGATGCCATGGTGAGAGGGCCTTTGCCCAGTGTGTGTGCATCACTGGTTGTCTGTGGGACGAGCAGCAGAGGCTGGCCCTGTAGTTAGAGCCCCTGCCTGCTCTCTGCCCTGAGTCAGCTGAGGTTCATTCTGTGTTCAGGAGCAAAGCACAGAAGGGGTTCGGCCTGTCTGAACTGCTTGGCATATGGCATTTCATGACTTTCTGCTAGATTCTTTGTTCCTCCAGCTGAAATGACTCCAAGTAGGAAAGGAATACAGCAACAGAAATAGACGAATGGGCAGCTGTCTCAGCCTCGTGTTACAGCACAGCTGCCTTCTGTCAGTGGCCGTCACGTGCGTTTGGAGTCTGGCCAGCTAACTTAACTGTTTGGGGCTCTGGACCCTGATGCCAAACCATAGGTTTTTGTTTGTTTGTGTGTTTGTTTTGTTTTTCGAAGACAAGGTTTCTCTGTGTAGCTTTGGTTTTATTTCCCATGTCGGCGTGTTACTTTGCTCTTACAAAGGCCAGACACTTGCTCTTACAAAGGCCAGACACGTGCTCTGGACCAGCATTAGTTCTCAGAGTCAGAACCGTTGCCATTACAGACCTAGGTAAGTGCAAAGCCATCAGAGACATCTGGGAAAGCAAGATTGGAAGTGAGAGTGTACACATAAAGGAAGCCAGGGGGCTGGTTTCGTGTTTCTTTCCAGGCTTAGATCCACATTTGCCCGTAGCCTAGCATAAATGTAACCATTTCTGACCTCTATGCCTTCCATGGACCAAGTAAAAAAATAATTTCCTGCCATGGTTCCTAAATTCATGGTGGTCAGGTCACAGGATTTCCACCAGAGGGAGCTATAATTATACCAGAAGCCCAATACAGCATATCATTAGTGCCCTCAATAATTAACTAAAGGAAGGGTTTCCAAAAATCTGTCTCTTTTTTTTTTTTTTTTAACTTTAAAAATATTTAGGTCAGGGGACTAGCAAGGTGGCTCACTCAGTAAGGGAGCTTGCTGCCAAGCCTGAAGGCCTAAGTTCAATGCTCAGAACCCCTGTAGTAGATGGAGAAAACTGACTCCAGGAAGTTCTCCATGTGGCCTACCTTGGTATGCATGCACATGCACACACTAAATAAATACTGAAGTGTAATAAAAATGGTTAATGTTTAGGTCAGACGTGGCAGTAAACACCAGCAATGCTAGCACTCAGAAGGCTTAGGAAGAAAGATCACAAGTTGGAGGCCAGCCTGACCAATACAGGAGACCTAATCTCCAAAAAGAAAAAATATAGAAAGACAAATACTTGACTCACCACTCAAACTGGAGATACTGAATCTATTTCTGTCCACAAATTCAGCACATAATGTTTTAGCTGGTTTTTTTGTTTTGTTGTTTTTTAAAGATGCTTCTCAGTTGCCAGCCATGGTATACAAACCTTTAATCCCAGCTCTGTAGGAGGCTGAGGCAGGCAGATGTCTGAGTTGGAGGCCAGTGTGGTCTGCAGAGTGAGTTCCAGGCCAGCTAGGGTGACATAGTGAGAACTTTCTCGAAAACCAGCAGAAAAGCCCCTCTGTCACTGTCATGTTAAAAACTCAGAAGCCTCGCAGGTTTCGTCATGTGGGTACAGAGTGTAGAGTTAACTCACAATTGGTCGGTTTAAGTTCCTCCTAGGCAGCTTTTAGCCTCGCTGCTTTGGCTGGGTAATAGAGGGATGAGTGGGGCTATGTGTGGAGAACACGGAGCTTATAGTGTTTTCTTCAGCTTCGTTTCAGCTTTGTCAGTGAAGTAACTAAATTCCCCTCGGTCCTCTGAGTACCAGTATGAAGTGCCTTCTGGAACTTTACTTTATTGAAACACCCCCCCCCCAAAAAAAAAAAAAAAAGGATATGTCTGTCGGCGGTGGTGGTTCACAACTTTAATCCCAACATTCAGGAGGCAGAGGCAGGAGGATCTCTGAGTTCGAGACCAGCCTGGTCTACAAGACCTAGTTCCACAGAGAAACCCTGTCTGGAAAAAAGATACTTTTTTTGTTGTTATGTGTTTGTTTTAAGATTTATTTTAGCTAGGTATGAGCACAACTTTAATTCTAGAACTTGGGAGGTAGAAGCAAGTGGATCTCTTGAGTTCAAGACTAATCTAGTCTATGGAGAAATTTCCAGACAACCAGGGCTACACAGAGAAATCCTGTCTAAAAAAAAAAAAAAGATTTGTGTATATGAATGTGTACCATGTGGATGCTGGGAATTACAGATGTTTGTGAGCCACCATGTGGATGCTGGGAATTGAATTCAGGTCCTCTGTAAGAGCAGCCCCAGTTTTTATTTTGTTTTAAAGATTCATTTTTAACTATATAAAGGGCTCTGCCCCTCCTCGGTTTTGCATGTGGGTATGTGCACATGAGTGCTGAAGCTGGAGTTACACATGGTGGTTAAGGCGCCTGGTGTGTGTGCTGGGAAGCAAACTTGGGTCCTGGAAGATCAGTTAAGTTCTCCTAACTGCCGAGTCATCTCTTCAGCCTCTTTTTGTTTTGTTTTGTTTTTTCTAGAAAAAGATAAGAAACAGTTGTTATTTTTAAGGCTGGTAAAGGCATTTAACCACTGAACCTGATGACCAGAGTTTGATCCCAGAACCCATAGGGTGGAAGGAGAGAACCAACTCCAGCAAGTTATCCTCTGACCTCCACACACATCATCATATGCTTACCTGTACACAAAAAAAAAAAAAAAAAAAAAAAAAAAAGGACATGCAATTTTCAAAAATGTAAAGAGGAGCCAGGCGTGTTAGCATACCCTTTTAATCTCAATACTTGGGAGGCAAAGACTGGTGATCTGTGATTGTGAGGCCAGCCTGATCTACAGAGTGAGTTCCAGGAAAGCCTGATCTACAGAGTGAATTCCAGGAAAGCCTGGTCTACAGAGTGAGTTCCAGGACAGCCTGGTCTACAGAGTGAGTTCCAGGACAGCCTGGTCTACAGAGTGAGTTCCAGGACAGCCTGGTCTACAGAGTGAGTTCCAGGAAAGCCTGGTCTACAGAGTGAGTTCCAGGACAGCCTGGTCTACAGAGTGAGTTCCAGGACAGCCAGGGCTACAGAGTGAGATCCTTTGGAGGGGAAGGAGAAGCTAAATAAATAAATTTAAGGATGATAAGGAGACAGCGGAAATGGCATGTTTCATAAATTGAGGGTTATCTTGCTAAATATCCTTTAGTGTCACTGAGACCCTGGCCAGACAGAATTATCTGCCCTTATCGCCACTCAAAGACAGGTAGAACCGAGTGTTCTGATTGACTGAGAACTTTTCTCTTCAGTGAGTCGTGTAGTCTCCCTGTAGCCACTTCTCAGAAAATCTCAGAACATTTCCTAGCTATGATCAAGAAGCAATGAGCCTTTCTATTTTTAGTTCTGTTGACTGAAGCATGAAGCTCAGAGAGCCAAGAGTGAGTGTAAACTCTTTGGTGGTCATTCAGTTCTCATAGGAAGTAGCTGGGTCCAGTTAAACATCCTGAGGAAAAGCCTCTGCAGAATGAGTGCTGCGCTCAGGGCGGATGAGTGCCATTGTCACAAACAAAGATGAGGACAGATGAAGATACATAGGGGGACAATATGAGCTCCGCTTTGGAGACGCAGACTGTTAGCGGTGACTGACAGTAGAGCGCAGGCTTCTTGGTTTTGTTTGACTTTAGCTGTGCGTTATGTTTATAAAAGTGAGTTTTTATTCAATCTTAGATATGCCTTGCTCATATCTAAGGAGGAATTTTCCAAGGCAGCCCTAACCCTATACCTGTCTTTTGTCTCTATGAAGGAATGTAATTCTGATAATAAGCTTTTTTCTACCCACAGAGTCTGTCTGAAAAGTCAAGGAAAGTGCTCCGAATATTCCGACAGTGGGAGTCCTTATGCTCGTCCTGAAAATGCTCCAGACAGAACTGATGAGGGTGACTTAAAAAATGTCAGCTGACTCTGCTTTTCGTCGTTCTGGTTTAATTGCAAGTGCAAAGACTTGCCACCTGCATGAAGAAGAGGAGACAGTTGCCATGCAGGGATGAGGACAGGGTGAGACACAGTTCTGTCAGAGGACTGTGGAGTTCTAAAACCAGCTGCAAGACCAAGGCTCAGAACACCCATTCAGCAGCTTTGCTCCGGGCACAGTGTCCTGAGAGAGTAGCCCAGGAATGTGACGGTGTGTGTTAATAAAGTGTTTGCTAAGATTCTTGCTGCTAGAGAATTATTTTCTTCCTCCCTGGTTCCCCAGGGAGGAGCTTTCTTAGAATTTAACTTTGGTTTGTCATTGGGATCTTATCAAAAAACCAGCCTAGGTATTGCTTAGTTGTACCCCAAGAAGAAAATTCTTGCAATAATAAATAATATTGCATCTATACTTTCCTTTAGTTAATGCCTCTAAGAAATATGACTTCTTTACTATAAATTATGTCCAACAAAAACTAGCCCCTGAATTTCATTTACCAGTCTATATCCAAAATTTGTAGTTAGGGGATGGAGGTGTGAGTTGCTGGTTAAGCATGTCTGGACTGGACAAGGTCCTGGGTATGTTCCCAGCATGCCCTGGCCCAGGTTTCTATTGTTCCAAACATGTTTTCTTCACATATGATTTGTCTAACAGACTCTAGGAAATGTGAAGTACTAAGTTACACCAACATAGTGACTCATGCTTGTTCTCCAGTTATGTGGAGGCTGAGGCAGGAGGATTATTGGGAGTTTAAGGCTAGCCTGGGCTACAGTGTGAAATCCTGTCTAGAAAAGAAGGCCAGGTGGTGATGGCCCACGCCTTCTGGACTGGGGAGTGGGGAGAATTTCCAGGGTAGTACAGTGATGTGTTCTGCATGGCTTAGTCCCGGAAACTTGACTGGGCCAATGAGAGAATGAAGAAGAAGCAAACACAGCAGTGTAGAGAAACGCTGGGATCCCGTGGGCTACTCACGCCCTGGTGGAGCAGTGCCGGCCTGTACAGAGCAGCCTCAGCTTAGAGTCCATGGGAGCAGGAAGCCGCAGGTGCTAGTTTGTGCACAGACTGCCAGCGTTTGCACTCTGACTAGAAGCCCTTGTCACTCCCATGGGTCTGCGGCAGTAAGGAAGCACATTCCCCACAGGACAGACTGGAGCAGGCGCCTGAGACCAGGAGGACAGAAAAGGGAGGCTTGCCTTGGTTTAAATCCCAACACCATGAAATACATAGCACGTGATGGGCACTCAATTCTTAAAAATAGTGTTTGAGCCAGGTGATGATGGCACACACCTTTAGTCTCAGCACTTAGAGGCAGAGGCAGGAGGATCTCTTGATTTTAAGGCCAGCCTGGTCTTAGAGCAAGTTCCAGGACAGCCAGGCTATGTAGAGAGACCCTATCTTGGGGGGTGAGGTGGGGGAGGATGTTTGAACCAATTGTAATGGCACACACCTAAAGCTACTCCAGAGGTGAAGGGGGCGGGGGGGGGGGAGCGGGGGGGAGCAGGATGGGGAGGAGGAGAGGGAAAAGGCCATAAGAGTAGCTGAGAACACCAGCTAGGGTGTAGCTCGGTGGTAGATTGCTCGCCTAGTACACTTGTTGACCCAAGGTTCAATCCCTGTACCTCAGACAAAACCAACAAAGGACATTGGGACCCAAGGAACACTGAGCAAATAACCTCAGTGTTAAGCACTGAGCAGACAGGGCAGGTTCTGGGCTAGCCTTGCACGGAGTCAGGCAAGGAGATTGAACATTGGATCAGATTGGCGTTTTCTGTGACTTAGGAGAAAGTTGGGGCTTGATCCTGTGGGGAAAGAAGTCTGTGGAGAAGTTTTGAGCAGAGGGATGCTGAATGCTGTCGCCTCCAAACACTCTGAGTTAGGGGAGAAAAGTAAAGTGGAAAACTTCTGCTCTCCATACACACACACACACACACACACACACACACACACACGCACGCACGCACGCACGCACGCACGTACGCAAAGCACACAGATGAAGAATCTTGAGTCTGTCATGAAGCAAAAGTAACCTTGAGGGTGTGGCCTGGCCAATGGAGGTAACTGGTGGTGAGGGATGACAATCACTTACCGTTCTTGAGAGGCCCCCGGACCCTGGGCCAGCTGCAATCTTGAATCCTTGTAGCGCCTCTCCAGTGTTGGAATGACAGACCTGAACCCACTCGCCCCTTGCCCTACACTTAGCATAGTGGCTTCTGCCCTGTGGGAAGATTCCTGTCTAAACAGGGTGTTCTGCATGGTGGCTGACTCAGCGCTGGTGTGTGTGCTCTGCTCTAGAAAGCTGGGAAACACGTGCTCCCCGTGTTCGTGTGGGGTGCTCCCTGTGGAAGTCAGCCCTCTCCTCCAAACTTTAGGTGGCTTCTAGTGACCAACCTCAAGTTTATAGTCCCGTAACCTCCTGGACCATATCGTTGTCCCTGGTTTTTTATTTGTTTGCTTGCTTCTGGGTCTTCAGTTGTGGGTATGGGTTTTTTTTTTTTTTTTTTTTTGTCTGCATTCATGAAGTACCTGTGCATGCCAGAAGAGGGCATCTGAGTCCTTGGAACTGTGAGTCCCAATGTGAATGCTAGAAACCACTGAGCCATCCCTCCCGGTCCTCTATCCCTCTGTGTGTGTGTGTGCGTGTGTGTGTGCGTGCGTGCGTGTGTGTGTGTGTGTGTGTTTGCTTGCTTGTTTGAAATTGGGTCTCAATGGGAGGTGGTGGTATCCCAGCACTCGGAGGCAGCAGGTGGATTTCTGATTTTGACGCCAGCCTGGTCTACAGAGTGAGTTCCAGGACAGCCAGGACTGCACAGAGAAACCCAGTCTCAAAAAGCCAAAATCATAAATAAATAAGAATAGCGTTATAAAATTTCCCACTTTACTAACTATATTGGGCAATTGTATGATACGCTGTCTAGGGTTAGGGGTTAGGGTTCAGGGTTAGGGTTAGTGTTAGAGTTCAGGGTTAGGGTTCAGGGTTAGGGGTTAGGGTTATAACCTCTGTCTGTTTTCTCCTTGGAAACAGGGTTAGGGTTATAACCTCTGTCTGTTTTCTCCTTGGAAACAGCCTTTGACACCCTCCCCTTCCTCCCAGGCATACATACGCCTCTGGAAGTCCATGGCCCTAGGGATTGGGGTGGTTGAGAACCACGGTTATCCAGACCCTTCTATTGCTCAGTACTCCCAGCCTTCCCGTTGTCCTTTAATGATTTGTCACCAGGACCTCTAGGATTCTCTGACAGAGGTTGGATTTTTCATGGGAGTTGGTTTGCTTTTGCAGGAGGAAGACTGAAGTTCAAAGTTACTTAATAACAAGCTCTGTCATAGCTCGAGTGTGGCAGAGTGGCACTTCAACCCAGCCCTCCCAGCCTCCTGTTCTTTCCATTGCAAAGCAGCTGGGAATAGCTTTCAGGCCTCGTGATTTGTAATTTTCCTTCCCCAAACCCCAAACTGAGCTCTGCCTCTCTTGGCACAAAGGAAGCTCGTGTGACAGCGCTTCATAAAATACTATTTTCCTAGCTCTTTTTAGAGTGTAGCCTACTCTAATAGACTCCTCGAGTGAGGCATTGTTGGGGCGGGGTCCACGTGTGCTCCTTGCACCAATACAGTTGCAACCAGTTCCAAACCAGCTCTTGAATCTTTTCCACCCTGTTCCATCTCTGCTGCTTGTGCAGCTTGACCACCGAGAGCTCAGGCACTTCCTCCTCCTCAACTTTTCCTGCCTATTTTTAGTTCTGTTCCTATTGTGGGTTTTCTTTGGCTTTATATAGCTGCCGTCTGGGCCGGCTGACCCATGCCCTCAGAAGAGAATGCCACACTTGAGCCCTTCAGCAAGACCGTCCTTTCCATCTTTAGCCCATGTTCCCTTTTTGGTACCTCCCTGGCTAAATTGATCCATGCAGCTAAAGCCAACAGAGGGACAGGAGAATGTGCACAGGCCTCTGGGCAGGGCAGTTAGGTCATAGAGTGTGGCCACTTATCTGAAGGGTCAGAGCATTCTAATATCTTTAATGCCTTTCTTGTACTCACTGCTGTACGCTATCTATCTGTCCAACGCATCCGTGGACAAACGGAGGAAAGTGAGCTGTTCCCTGCAGAGGGTCAACGGTAACCAGGGGGTAGAAGTAGGACCCCAGCCAGGTGGTGTGGCGCATGCCTTTAATCTCAGTACTTGGCAGGCAGAGACAGGCAGATCTCAGTTCAAGGCCAGCCTGGTCTCCAGAGTTAGTTCTAGGCTGGACCCCAAAATGGAAAGCACTCAAGATTTCTCCCCAAGGAAGGCCTTCACTCTCCTCAGAAACAAGCAAAGACCAGACACAAAAATGTCCTTTTCGGACTCTGTGTCCACTTGCAGGCTAGTCCTGTCCAGAGCCAATAGAAAGGAAGGGCACAGTGCAGTCCCCACACGGTAAGGCTGTTTTGAATGATGGCAACACAAAGGCTGTGGCTGGAGCCTATGCTCTCCTGCAGTGGGAGGGATATGGGCAGGAAGCCATGTTCAGCAGAATTCTAAAAACTGATTTTTCTATACTTTTTCAGGCACCGACCTAAGCACTAGACCTACGTTCATCATTTAAGACCCGCCAGTACAAGCACTATCCCTTTTACACAAATGAGGGTGCTAAAACCAAAGTTAATATTTTTCTCAAGGTCACCAGCTAGTAAGCGAGGGCCACCACTCAAGTTTGGAGCATCTCTTTCCAAAACCTAGCAACTGTCTGCTTCCCAACCAAGGTTCAAGAGAAGAAAAGACATATGCATGACAATGTTTAGTATTTTGCTATCTTCCGGGACAGTCAGAGCTGTTACACAGAGAAGCTTGTCTCCAAAAAACAACAAAAAAACATACAAATATATATATAATGTCTTATAACTCATGTCACATTAATATATTATAACATAATATATACAAATGAAATAAATATTATATAATATATAATACATGTTATGCATTTTTACTTGAAATAAAAGAACCTAATCATCTAGTAATTGATTATAGAGTATAACTCTATTAAAGTGAATATTGTGTGGCCTGGGGAAATGGCTCAGTGGTTGAGCCCTTTTCCATCTCAGAGAGGACCCAGGTTTAGTTTCCAATACCTACAGAGTCCGTAACCCCAGTTCCAGAGGATTTGACACCCTCTTCTGACCTCCTCTCACACCGGTGTAGGACATAAACATACAAGCAGGCAAAACACTCATACACAGAAAATAACTGTAAAAAACATTGTAGTCAGCCATAAT